TCCAGAGGTGGTGCAATCGCCTACCCTGGAAACCTTCAAGAGAAGACTGGACAGTCACCTCACTGGGGTCACCTGACCCCAGATGTCCTTCCTGCTTGCTGCAGGGGGCTGGACCCAATGATCTTCCAGCCTTACAATCTATGAAATCAATGGGAGTCTCGCTTTTATTCCTTAAGCTCTGGAAAGCACTAGATGAACGCCCATAATTATTACTCAGCAAATTTAATGGGATGTTCGAAAGAAATCTAACCAAATATCAGCCAACATGGATGGAACAAGGAAATCCAACACTGCAAATATCCAACAAACCTAGGAGCACAGATTTTGCTCCCATGATGAGAAATGGTGAGTCGTGAAGGCTGCTTAGTTCCCATGATGACAGGCACCCTAGAGGTCTGGAAAGGACATTCTACTTTGCATGAGTAGTGGGTAGGTATGCATCTTATTTTGATGGAGGCAAGGTTTTTGATGGCATTTAAAAGGACGAATCAGGCTGGGAGACCAGAGGGCATGAGTTTAAGGCTGTTTGCTGCCCTTGCCAGCTGGGCTGAGGGGGCAGCCCACTATTTGCTTGTTTGGGGGTTGGACAAGACAACCTATAGATGTTTCTTCCAGCTCTGCTTCTCTATGATAGCAATCCTAACACCAAACAGAGAATAAATGCTCCATAATCTGGTTTTTGCTATTTAATGGATACAAGGACAACACCTCTATCTCCCTAGCTTTCCCTTAGCTAAAGAATGAAAGCCTGGAGCCAAATTCTACAGCTGTACATTGCGAAACACTACCGTTACCACCCCATTGTTAATTCCCAGTCATAAACACTGCAGGCTTTGCATTGAGAAACTCCTGTTTCAAAGACAGTATACTGTCCGGCAGCTGGGACCAGGGAATCAGAAGCTAAGCCTTGAGTCACCAGTCAGTGGGTACCTGAGTATGTCAAGGTACTTCAGCTCCTTGCATGTAACAACCAGGCTACAAGAACGGGTCATGTAAAAACTCCTTTCTTCCCTTCTTTAGGGTGTTTACTGCAATACACATTATAGAACATGTAAGCCTAGGGATCACCATATTTACAAGGACTCCGAGTGAGGTAACAACAGGCCAAACAAACCAAAGTGTCACATAGTTCAGCACTTACAGTAATGGAATATTTGTACTCACTTGCCATGTGTTACAGCAACAAAAAAACTTGTAGAATGAGAAAGTCTGAAGGCAAGAGTCAGCTGGGGACAGTCAGTGCCCAGCACACAGGTACCATTTTCCAACTGGAGGGGTCCAGTTGCTTACTCCCTCTCCACTCCTGGCACAGGCATGAAGAAAATGAGAGGTGTTGACTCACAACACCACCTGGACATACAAAAATCAGGCTGTGGCACTTTAATTTGCATAAATTCAACTTAATTTGTGGGTTTAGGGACTCGTGGGATGCTAATGTTAGCCACAAGGCAGCAGAAGGGACACTTTCAGGGAGACTCTCAAGCCAAGGATGGTTTGTTAAACACACCAAGGTTTCTAGGGCAACTTGCTTTCAGGAAAATGAAACTGACTCTCTCCTGAGTCACCTGAGGGGTCAAACATCTGTCCTGGAGGTAGCTAGTATGCCACAGGTTGCTGGTGCTACTGGCATTCAAAGCACTATGGGGTCATATGGACTGTGGCTTCTCTATCCAATTAAAAGGATTTAAAAATGTTAAAGAAAGGGGTTGAAACTAAACACAATGTTTGCTCTCTAAAACCATGTACAAAATACTGCCAGACTCTTTAAAAGAATTAAAACACCATTTTGTGAGCAGGAAGACCTGTAACTGTAGTGACCCACAGGTGCAGATGACAAATTGACTCCAGCAGCTTAGATTTGTGCAGTGCAGTCAGCTGGAAAGAAGGGATAACATTTGCACAACAGCTTAAGTGACTCAGAGGCCTAAGCACTACTGAGTCTCAAGTCCAAGTCACTCAGCACTTTTGAACACTTTACCTTCTAAAATTTCTAAGCAGCTTACAATTGGCCCTGCAAGCTCTAATGAGCAGTTCTGACAACTATGAAAAGCCATATGTGGACGTCAGCTTATCACGTACCTACATAAATGCATCCTACAATATGTTGCTGCTTTTGTATGCTGTAACAGTGCACTGGAACAGCTGAATTAATATATTATGCCAGGATTTGTTTCCTATTACATACCAGAGACAGACTGGAAGCATTTGTGTTCTGTGTCAAAGGTCTTCCAAGTTCATAATGGCTTGTGCTGTATGATTCCAGTAACATAATTTGAATTAATTGTTCTACATACACTTTAAAATTCAAATTTCATGATAGCAGAGGTTTTGTTTCTAAATGCTATAAACAGCTTGTTCCTAAGAAGGAATCAGCATGGCCAAATATTTCACATAGTCTCTTCAGTCAAACTTAGTAGACAAAATTGGTCAGTTCAAGGGAAGAACTAGAGGAAAGACTCAGGTGCCCTGGCCAAAATAGGTTTCCCCAATTTTTCATACCAAACACAGAACCCACATGTTTTTAGTAAATGCACAATTCAAAGTCAGACAATGAGGTATATGTTGTGAAAAATCATCTGTGGGTTACTTAAGACTGTTAAGAAACTTGGGTTGTTCTTCCCCTCTTGGTAAAAGCGTTTCTCCACCAATCTTCGGACCTTTCTTCTCCTAAAAACATGAACATACAATGGATGAAGATTCAAATTCAAGCTAAGCCAGCTCCGTTAGATTTTTCTGAAAGAAGCTGAGGTAAATGATTATCTGACTAGAACACCTACACTCACAATAATCACGTCATTCCAAGAGTTCCTATGGGTGATTCTGAAAATGCAGCTGTAACTTTACAATACAAATTCCTACCATGCCAGTTTAAACAAGGCCCTAAACAAACTTAAACAATAAAAACCAAAGAATAAAAGCTAAGGTGCCATAAAATAAATAAACTATCTGTGCTGAGGCAGATCAGTTCAGGGTTGCTAGTAACATGCCAGGTGTGTTGAGAAATGCACTTAAACGGATCCGTTTCAGGAAATGGAATCCTTCACTTTCTTAGGTGGCTCATATTAGCAAAGCCTGGGAAAAAACCGCTGAAAGAATCAGCCTTATTCCCACCGTAGGCCTCAGCCTGCACCTACCTTTAGCATCCCATCTCGCTCCCATTTGAAGAGGCCACAGGTGCTGAAAGAGGAAGATGAAAGGTTAGGATTGGGTTGGAATCCATTTGCTGCACAATACCAGAGGACCAACAGCCCTCCTACATCCTTCCAACAATGCACAGCAGCCAG